CTCTGTACGCCGAGCTAATTTTCTGAAATATAAATTAGATTTACAGCTGCACCCGGAGGTTGCCTACGTACCCGAATCGAGATCAAGCCGTCCGTAGTTCATTAGAAGTATTGAATGAGTGGTATCACTCAGGGGCTGAGCCCGGTTTTATTGAAAGCAAAATAAATAAATAAAATTAAGACTTATTATCGAGTCTTTGTCGCTTATTTAACGTCCTCGATTGCTTTTGCCGTGGAGAGTCGCACTTTGCGTTCGCTGATGAAGCAAGAAGATCTTGCCATCTGCTGATCCCCGTGAAGCGTAAAAACTCCGGCCGAAGTGACGAATTTCATGCATTGATGATAAGTCGACACGATTGCTTTTATCTCGTGGATCCACAGTGTGCCAAGTATGGCATTGTAGATTGCTGGCTTGTCCATCACCGTAAATTTAACGATTTTCGTCACGCCGCCGGCATAGACCACGAGTCGTATGGTGTCGAGGCTGAAGAAAAATTCACTGGCAAAGCCGGTTAAAGGCTTTGGTGCCGCCTTGATGTCGTTGTCCTGGAATCCCATCTTAGTCAATGTATCTTTAAAGATGATGTTGACCGTGCTGCCGGTATCCATCAAGATTTTGGTCACTTTGCTGTCGTGGATATGTAGTTCGACCACCAACGGGTCATTATTCGGGGTGTGTAATCCATGCATATCCTTCGATGTGAAGGTGATCGTGGGGTGATAAGCCACGGAGCGGGGGAATTTACGCGATGCGACTGCTTTTCGTCCATACTCCTTGATGGCATGGACCGAGTCATCGCAGTCGGAGAGTCCTCCAATGATCATGTTGACCCGTCGCTTCGGTGGAGGAGGCATATTTTCGTGTTCTCCTTTGTTGTTCTGACCTTCTGCTCATTTTCCTTCTCCTTTTCTTCGTGCCTTCTTTCGGGCGTGCGACTTTAGCGCCTTCCTCCGGAAGTGCCTTGACTGCTGCTTTTTCCCGGATCCCTGCGATCCCGAGCGGAAGTGACCGGATGCGAGTCCCTAGGGTTTGAACTGCGTGAATAGGAGCTTTTACTTTGGGCCTCCGATGTTGATTTTGTCTTCTTTGTATTGTTCATACAACGTATTTTGGAGGTGTCGACAGACCGAAGTAGCGTGTCTTGTTCGTCCATGAAAGGAGCAGTAGAGATCGTGATTATCGCCCCTATTGCTTGTGCTTCTTGGGGGGTCTCCTAAGGCCCATTGATGCCAAGGCTTCTCTGTGGTTGCTACGACGGCGTGAGAGGAGGGCTTTCTTTTACTCGCGGGTTCTCTGTCTTTTGAAGTGCTTGCCGTGTCCATGCCGTGTTTCTTGGCATAAAATGTTTTCTCTTCCTCCATCTGTATAAAGGTCTGGGCCCGATGGAGTGCGTCTTCTATAGTTTTTTTCGGGTGTATCTGTAGATCTTCTTTAAAAGAAGATTTGTACCACAGACCGTTCATGAGTGCCTCGATGGCTAACGCTTGAGGGATTTGCATGTATGCCGCGGCGGCGTTCTTAAATTTTTCGATGAAGTTGCGGAGTGGTTGGTCGCGCTTTTGTACTAAAGTGAACAGGTTGACCGTCCTCTTCGTGATGAACATGGAATAATGTTTGATGAAGGCGTGGGTCAGATCCTTGAAGGATTTGATCGAGGCCGGGGGTAAGTTAGAGAACCACTTCAAAGCGTCTTTGTTGAGGTGCTCAACAAAGGTTTGGCAGTGGTTGGCTTCTCGTTCGAGGTCATTCTCGAATCGTTGCCTCTTCATGACGACGTTGAATCCGGACAGCCGTAGGTTGGGATCCTCCATCCCATTGTAGTATGGGAGCTTCAGTTTTATTGCCTCGCCGAGTCGGACGTCGGTGATCCGCGGGACGAACGGATTGCGTTCTGCATCTGAGAGAATGGCTGAGATCTCGGGCGCCGAGCTGGTGGCTCGATGGACTTGGGATCCAATTGCGTTGATTCGTTGGTGAAGCCTTGCGATCTTGGAATTCAGTTTGCCAGACGGCTTCTCATCGTCAGCTGTTGTACTCTGGGTGTTGTTTTGCTCCGGTGTTTCGAAGATTAAACATCGCCCGATCGGCTCTGATCTTGCGGTGGTTGCGGCTGCGAAGGCGCTGAGTTGCTCGTCGTATTTGGCTTGCTGGGCCTGGAGGGTGTCTAGTTTGGACACCAAATCCTGCGTGAGTGGCTGCATGGCAGCCTGAATAGCTGCTGCGAGGTCAGCAGCCTGAAGGGGAGCTGGGGGTGCTCCCACGGGTGGATTCACGGTAGTGACGTTTGTACGTTCACTGAGGGCGGGTGTCTCGATGTGAGTGGTCTCGTCGTCGTTGCGGATGAGATTACTGTTGTCGACAGGGAGGCTCATCACTTCGGCTTTCTTACTTGGTTTTGAAGAAGTTATTCTCCTAGTCCCCACAGACGGCGCCAACTGTTGAACCAGAAAATCACCACTAGGGTTTGATTAACAGTTGTGGGTTTCGGAGAATAAAGTTTTTTTATTAATAGTAATAAGCGAAGCGATTACAAAGAATGGGATAACCGAGAGGTTATGCCGAAGTGAAAAGAAGGTTTGCGAGGTAAACTAGAAAGCGTCGGAGTCTCTGGTTTTAACTCTGCTGCTCTCTAGAATGTATGAGTTAGTCTTTCAGGCTTCGGGATCTTTGTATTTATAGGAATAGGAGGTCGGTTGCTTCGAGTTCCTTTTCTTTTCGTCTTTTGTGAATATATCCGTATCTATGATATGGAAATATCCCTTATTCTCTGAAGAATATGAAAATTCTCCTTTATCTTTTGGGCAAATCCAATGTTTCCAGTCTTCGATAATTATCTTTTAAGAGTTTTCCTTTAATCCGAACTAGGTCGGCGCGGTCTTCCTGGTCTTGATGGATTTAGGTTATTGCGAGGGAATGCCTTTTAGGAAATGTGCTCATTTTCCCTCTAACAGTACCTTATTATGCCAAATGAATCCTTAAAATAGCTCCGGAAATAGTTTCTCAGCGACCAGGAAGAAGACCATACATATCATTTCTCAATTGTCGTATTTATATGGCTGTTATAAATGGAAATGTTGTCCCTGTCTTGACAAGACAGATTTCCAAAGAAATTGATCGTGGAATGTAGATGATATCAACCCATGTAGCACTTTTAGATCCTTCCAAATCTATTGTCTTCCACTTATTAGGACCAAGATAGAGATCGAAGTTTAGGTACGTATTTACACCATCATAGTTTACATATAAGAACCTGGCTCCAATGTAATAAGTTATATCACACGTGACATTGAGACCGTAACAGTTCCGTAGCCCTTCTGGAAAGTATCTCATAACCAAATATAGTTTTATCTATTTTTTGTCGAAAGATCTATCGACTCTGCCACTCTTTCCCGTCTGGATGAAGGTCAAATCTGATGTGAATACTAATCCACTATCTGGATCAGTGTAAGGAGATGATTTATCGATTGACATGCCAAGATAGTTAACTAGTTGAAGATTAGCATTAACTCTTCTCTATATATACTAGAGAATTTTCCTTGTTATTTTTGATGTGGGATATTTTCTACATTCCATTGTTTACACTTTTTATTCCAATTGGGTCACAGCCTATTTCTCTTAACTCTTTAGCCCAATTTTCTCAAGCTCAATAACTTTGTAAAAACTGATCCAATAAACCTTTCCTCTCGTATTTTCCACTTCATCATATTAGTAAATCCCATATCTGATGGAGTCTATGGAATATATAATATATATTAATTTATACACTTAGTTAAAATTGGTTTTAAATTTAAGCAAGTTAAATTTAAAATAACATTAGAGTCTAATTTATAGTCCTAGCCTATGACCGGAATAGGCTTTGTGGATCCTACAGTGGGATTTAGTTCAAGTTGGGACGAAAGAGTCTTTATCTTAAACGGACGTGTTTGAAATCCCATTTTTCTTTCACGGAAAATGAACAGTTGTTAATTACCACGCAAACATTGATTTGAAGTTAAGGTGCGAAAATATTGATTTGAAGGTTTAGAGTGTAAGTAAACACCTCTAAATTTTAAAATGCTAAGTTTGATCACTTTAAAAATTAGAAATGCGATTTTTCCTACATATAAAAAAGATGTGGACCAATTAATTTAGGGCCAATTTATTGAGTTAATGAAACAGAAATTAGCCTCTTTTTTTTACCGCTCGCATGTGTGGCTGCGCACATTTCCGAACAGGCTATGGCCTCCCTTCTCTTATTTTCGTCTTTACATAAACACCTAGCTAGTCAATTAAGATCGACAAGTTATTAGTTTTCACAAAATCTATGAAGTGGCTAGATCCCACAGCCCATGATCATATTTTAAAAAAAAAATCTCAATCAGGGCCAATGATCATATATTCATATTAATTAAAAAAAATTAATCAAAATAGTTCTCGGGTCGGCTTTGATAGGTAAGCATTGTGTTTCTCATCATTTTTTTCCAGTTTATTCTGATGATATTTACGGATAAGTTTAGGTATTTTAAAAAAATGAAAAAATACTCTAAAATAATCTAGAAACAGAAAATAATATTAAATGAGTATTTTTTTTTTGAGGAAAAATTATGAAAATGACTCATATTTTATGAGTTTTTTAAATAGTAGCACTATCCTTCTAACTATTTTTATTTATATCTTAATCGCAGACTAAATACAAATTGAATGCTGATTATTGACAAACTGATTAGTTTTATAATTGAATATAGACTATTGACAGACTAATGACAGAATAAATATAAATTATTGGCAAACTAACAATAGATTAAAAATATACTAATGGATCCTTCTTATAGAGATTTTAGAAAGAATCATGTTTTGTAATCAAACTGCCAAGTATGTCATTTCAAAAATTATCCCTTTAAAATTTTAGTTTTAGGAAGTTACAAACGATTACTTTCGGTTATATAAGATATCTATATAAGTTTATGTTGTCTACTTGTCCTAATACACGACGATTTCATCAATAGTGGAAAAAGTGGTAGAACCGTAGAATCGTTGATGAATGGTATCATAAATATAGACAGTATAATGCTTTGGGGTACTTTCCAGAAGGAGCACGACACTGCTATAACCTGAGTATCAAGCAAGGCATCAATTATCTAATCAGAGCTGGTTTCGCATATGGAAACTATGATGGCCTTAATATAAATCCAAGATTTGCTATACTGTATATTGGACCTAATTTGTGGGCATCGGTGTATGCCGAACGTGAAGTAAACTTGGAGATTATTCACATGGCAAAGTCAAACTCCATGCAGATTTGCCTTGTCAAAACAGGAACAACTACACATTTCATATCAACTTTGGAGCTACGGCCTTTAAGAAATGATGCTTATTCTACGCAATCAGGTTCTTTGCAACTAGTATGTCGGGAATTTCCTAAGGTAGAGTTAAGCATACGGTATGTTGAGCAGTTCATATCATTTACTTTTATTTAGAGTAATTAAGTTTTAAATACGAACTACACAGAATGTAGCAAGATTCATTATATATTCATGGCCAACAAAAACTATTATTTGTGCCAGGTATCCTGATGATGTCTACAATCGTCAATGGTCTGAATCATACTTTCGAGCACAAGATGGAACAAGAGAAATAAACACCACGTTCAAAGTGAATTCCTCTATCCCCTTTAGGCTACCGGAAGTTATAGCTAGGTCCGCAGTAACGCCTAAGAAGGCCAATGAAACATTGAAATTTGACTATTGGGGAAATACTATTGTTTATCTTCACTTTGCTGAGATCCAAGACCTTGGAGCCAACGATACCAGAGAATTCGACATTGTATGGAATGAAAACATTACAGTTTCAGCGTATAGTCCGAAGAAGTTGCAGATAGAAACCATATTTAACACAGCACCAAGTAAATGTGATTATCAAAACTGCAAAATAGAGCTGGTGAGGACACGGAAGTCATCTCTTCCACCACTGCTTAACGCTTATGAGGTTTACAACGTTATGGAGTTTCCATATTCAGAAACATATCCAGCCGATGGTACGTCAAGTTTGTCTATTTTTTTTCAATGATATTAAGTTGTTGAAAATAGGAAAAAAAATAACAGTAATGAGATTGAAATAATGGATAAAGCCTAACGAATGAACAAATAGAAAGCCCTCATCTTGACAACAAGAAGAATATCCATAAGAAAGAAATAAGGGAGGATTACACTTTTAAAAAGGCATTTGGACTAGAACAATGTTTTTTTATTTATTACTGAATTAACTTAGCGTACCTATTGTGCTTTTCAGTCTTTGATGACAAAAACATTTACGATTGTGCCATTACGTTTCAGTTGCCACGTAGGCGAGTTGTTTGACTGTAGATTTATTTATATTTGGTCAACGGTTGGTAGATTTGTTTTTGTTTGATAGACTTTTCGGTGACGATGATGAACTTACGACGCGGTAGACTTATTTGTATAAAAACGGTAGACTTATTTTGTAGTTATGGAAGATTTATTTTGTTCGACCCCTAGGGTTAAGGAAATGCATGAAGAATAGTTGACTTTTTCCTTTCATTGATCTTTTATGATGATAGACTTTTTGGAAATTAGGTAGACTTAATTTGTGCTTCAGTAGACTTATATACTGTTGTGGTAGAGTTATTCGTAAACTTGGTAGATTTATTTTTCATTTTCTCAAAATTGTTTGAATTATGGTAGACTTATTTATTTGACGGTAGACTTGTTAGAATTTACTAGATAACGAAGCCGTTGTGGTAGATTTACTGCGGTTATGTAGCGGTAGAGTTATATCTTTCCATAATTACTAGACTAACCTCATTGGTTGATCAATACTGGTAGACTTATTATGTCTCCGTACATAGTTGACTTTTTAACATATAGTGGTAGACTTAATATGTTATAGGATATAGTTGTTGATATTTTACTTACCGGTAGACTTCTTATGTGGTATTGGACGGTGACAAATTTTCAAATAGAATGTTGATGAGTTGAATGTTGAAGTTGTACGTGATAAGAATGAAAACATCGTAATGAAGAGATTGAACCTGTATTTCGACTGTTAAACACTCGTTCATTGAATTGGAAAATTTGATGATCTTAGTAGACACACAAGTTAAAGAAAGTACATATAAAAAGTACTTAGAGATGTTCACCAAACAAAGTACATTGAGATTGAAGTATCGATCCATATTACACATTAGAAAGTACACGATATTAGAATTCAAATCTTGGAAAATCTTCTATGCTGAAAACATTTGGCAACAAACCTCTTTGGTTCACGTTTGTAGGTGGTGTTAAATCCATTATACTGCCAAACTATGTCTCATATGTTTTGACATAACGATTTGGACTCAATGTAAGGATATGTTCTGATTTGGTAGACTTCTATACCGTGCTGATAGATTTATGTATGTTCGTGATAGATTTATACATGATTTGGTGGAACATTTATGTATGTCGTGCTGGTAGATTTATATTTACTAATGTCTTCCCCCTTTGTGCTGGTGTATCAAACAAATCTACCATCATTATCAGATCTATTATACCGAATAAATTACATATATTAAAAATCTACCACCATAATGAAACATATCTCATACCAAAATCAAATCTACCATAACACTTAACTACTAATAAAATTTATACATCAAATCTACCATCAAGGGAAACCAAAATTTTAAAGATCCAAAACCTATTAAACCGGGAAAACAAAAACCCTAGGAACAAAAACTGTTGCAAGCTGCCGCTACATCCATCTTTGAGAAGATCGGCCACCAGAGAATGCGAGGAGCATTCACCCATCTGAAACCACCATCTCAGGGAAGAGATTCACATATTTTTTGAAGCCTCCATAGGAAATTCCGCCGGAGAAAAGCAACCAAACATAAGAGAAGATGAAAGAGTCGATCCACAGACAAGTTCTACACCAAAAAGACATCATCGGCCATGGATCAACTGCCGCAGATCTGGCCGGAGAGAAAAAAAAAAGAGAGATAGAAAGAGAAGAGAAAGAAAATAAATGAGTAAAAAACAGATTTGGCGGAAGAGAGAATGGAAAAAGAGAGAGAGAGGAAGAGAAAGAAGAGAAAAATAAAAAAGATGATCGGAAAAACCAGATCTGGTCGGAGAGAAGAAGAGAAAAGAGAGAGAAAGATAGAGACAGAGAAAAAGAAAAGAGAATGAGAAGAAATGAGAGAAAAAAAAAATTAGATTTAATATATATATATATATATATTCCACAATAATTAAAAAAAAATATTATTTTTTATTTCAAATTTTAAATAATATATTTTTTAATTAATAAAATTTTATTTTATTTTTATAATAGCATTTTCGTTATTCCATACATGTTTTTGTTAAATAGTCTTTTACAAATTTATTAAAATTAGTCTGGTAACACGATTATGGAAAGGAATTAGTCTAGTAAATACCATATTTAGTAAGGTTAGTCTAGGTAAATATATCAAGAAATAAACATTTCACATTAAATTGTTTGGCTTTTTTTAATTTCTATGTCAGTGGCTGCTATCAAGAATATTCAAGCCGCCTATCGATTGAACATACTCAGTTGGGAAGGAGATCCTTGCCTCCCTGAACAATGGAAGTGGAAAGGTGTAGAATGCAGCTATACTAATAAGTCTACTCCCCCAAGAATCATTTCATTGTAAGATTACTCTCTATCACACACATGCATCTCGGAGCTGAAGCTTGTGATCTTGAAGCGTCTTAAAAGTAAAAGTCTTTCTGCTCTGCTCATGTAAACAGATACTTACAATCAAGAGGGTTAAATGGGATCATAGTTCCTGACTTCGAAAATTTGACTCAACTGCAATGACTGTGAGTGTCTCGCGATCCTCTATTTCTATTTGCTAGATGTTCTCTTTGGTCTTAATTCACAAAACGTTTTGTGCAATGAAGGTAACGAATGGAATAACTGAAGAAAGTTAAAAGAAGAGAGAAATGGATAAATGATATATCACATCTTTATATAAGAAAAAAAAATCATATGGTAGTCCATTGTTAAAACAAAAAAAAAACACCACACATATGACATATCTACATATTTCATTGTAAGATCACTCTCTATGAAATATATAGATATGTCATATGTCTGGTATTATTTAGTTCAAACATAATACCACACATAGGACATATCTACATATTTCCATCTTAAATTGTGCTTCTGGTATTTTAAATATTTACAACATTCATCGAATTTTACGTTTTTAGTTAAATAATTACTAATTAATTCTCTTATATATGACATATCTATTAAAAATAACTAAATGAAAGATATATATTTAAAGTATTACAATAGACATTTTATAAATCAATAAATTCTATAAGTTAATAAATTTCTCAGGTTTTTGAATTGATTAATTAATAAAATAATATTTTTTTAAGAAATCTATGTAAATATATAGTTCTATTAACATTGTAAATTAATAATTAATATAAAAATAATCTTAAACAAATATAATTATGATAGTTTACTAAAATATTGTTATAATTCATCTATAATTTTAATTGAAAATTTAGAAAATATTATAAACTTTAAAGAAAATATTATTTTTAATTAATTATTAATTTAAAATTTATTTTATTTAAAATTGATAAATTAGTAATTTTATAAATTAATAAAATATTATAGTTTCAATATTATTAATTTATAAAAATTTTACAGTTGTTTAAGTTCAAGTGAACTTTTCCGATATTTTATTGTTCTACTCCATCAAAAAGTACTAGTTTTTTTTTTTTGGTACGTATCAAAAAGTACTAGTTATCACAGTATAATGATATTCACCTCTTATGTGACGTGGCCTCTATTTCTTCTATTTCGCCATATTTTATTCAAAACTAAAGATGTGAAAAATCAAAAAATTGTTCTCCATTAAAGACATAACGAATGACATTGAAAATGTTTACAAATGGTAGGGATTTATCAAATAACAGTTTGTCTGGAAGCATGCCCGAATTCCTAGCCACCATGCAATTTTTGTCGATCATGTAAGTTGTTTCGGAGAAGTAGAATAAATGAATAATTGAATAAATATTTTATTTTTTGCACCAGATTCAGCTGATTGTCATGGAACTTTTTTCTCGACAGAAACTTAAGCTGGAATAAACTCAGGGGCCAGATTCCACAGGTCCTTCGCGACGGGAAAAGAAAGGGCTGCACTTGCTGTAAGATTTTCACATTATGTTTCTCCTTTGTTCTCTTAGTATTTTAAGTGACACACTGACATATATAATATGTAGGATCCAAGGAAATCCAAATCTTTGTTTGGATGATTCATGCAAAATTAAGAAAATCGTTATACCAGTTGTCACGTCGATTACCGGATTGGTTCTTATTGTGGCTCTGCTGGTTCTCTATGTTGGAGTTTATATACATTAATATATATTCTTATTTATGTCGATGTGTAACATTAAATATACACATATTAACATAAATATATCTCTATTTACCAAATCTTATCAAACACATTT